TATATATATATATATATATATATATATAATATAATATTCCTCAAAGAAATGTAAATGTTCCTTCATTTCTGTAGTCTTTGTATCCCCTCGCATTAGTTTGCCGGCGACTCTGGCAGATTTTGGTTGCATGCAACATGTTGGGTGTTGTGTTATTATTTTGGACAATTGTTGCTTTGCTGTTGCTGCTGATGCTTGGTTGGTCGGTTGCTCGGTTGCTTCGTTGCTCGGTTGGGGTTGCTGCTCGCCTCTAATTGACACATTTGAGTTCAACTTGTTGAGTTTATTGTCATCTTAATGTAATACTTATTTACGCTGATTCTCTCTAGTAGAAACCATCCCTAACACTGAGTACCTCCCTCACCTTCCTCTGTCGCCGTCTGTCTCATGCTCTCCCTTTCTGTCTCTGTTTCGTGCTCTCCTCCCCTGACTACTTAATATTTACATAAACAATTTCCCTGGTTTGTTTACAATTGAGTTAATTTTTGTGTAGAGCTGCTTACATTAATAGGCGCAGATTTTGATGATTGCCTTGAAATAGTTCTAGAATAGTATAGAGGGTCTGTACAGATGAAAATTATCTGGAACACGATTTAAGTTGATCTTATGAAAAGAAGAAGAAGCAGGGAAGATGACTCAATGCGATATACTACGTATGCACATATATGAATATAAGCTTACATCTATAGATTCAGATATATTTAAATAATCAGGATGGTGCGAAAAAGAGAGAGGAAGAGACAAAGAAAGAGAAAGATAGAAAAAGAGAAGGAGATAGACAGAAACAGTAGAGACACACCCACAGAGAGAGAGAGACAGAGTGAGAGAGAGAGTGCGAGAAAAAGATAGAGGGAGGAAGAGAGGGATGGATTGATAGATGCAGAGAGTGAGAGAGAGAGAGAGAGATAGAGAGAGAGAGAGAGAGAGAGATAGAGAGAGAGAGCGAGAAATTGTATAGAGAAACAGAGGTAGACCCACATTATAGCTGGATGTATTCATTGCATATATGTATGTACATCTATAATACAGTCGACTCTCGTTATTTCGAATCTCGAGGGACTCTTAAAAGATTACGAATTATTTATTATTTTTGAGAGAAATAATCAATTCTAAAGGGATTTAATTTAATAGCTGATATTTTACATATTCCTAATGTATGTAGTTTGGTTATTTAATCTTTGAAAAAAACTCATTTATTCGTGTTTGCTTCGAAACACAATGCTGTTAAGGAGAAAAAGAATAGCTTTGTAAGTTATGTGCCTATGCTTTATTCGTAATACGCAACCACGCACAGTAAACCTAGTTTCAGGGGAGTCCAAAACTCAAATTCCAAGTTCTTACTAACACGCCAAGAAACTTCGCAAATTTGAATTATCAAGTGCTTGATCAAATGAGTACGAATTACTGCGTCTTAGCAATGATTTCTTAGTTCGAATTACTCAGTGCATAAATGGGAGATTCTGTAGGGGACTCGTAATATCTTTGAATGAAGGAGAGGTTTGAAATATGGCAGGTTTGGAATAAAGAGAGTCGACTGTGTAATGATTTCCAAGTACAGTAATTGACATATATTCCTTTTATTTTGTCGCATACATAGATCACGCTACTATTGACCGAGTAATTTCTATCCAATAGACTCGTACAACTCGCTCGGAACATTGTCCAAGAAATCAAGAGAATTATCAGCTTGATCGAATCGCCTCAGTTGCTCAGTCGGTTGGCTCGCAACATGTTGGACGCGAGCCGGCAGCGTGTTGGCCTGAACTTTGACACGACTGCAACAGGTTGGTTGCCCTCGGCAGCGTCTGCCTTGGCTCAGGGCTCAGGGCGCAGGGCGCAGGGCGCAAGTGTAATCAAATGGCGGCATTCTGTCAGAGGCGACTCGACGCAGCTGTTTCGCCTGTTCCCATCTAATTGGAGCTGGGGCTGCTGCAGAGGCAGACTCGTGCTGCCAAGAAACGCCTTCGGCAACACATGCGAGCTCTCGAGCCTGATAAAGGCCCCAATGCAAATACACTTACTTCCGATACTTTCATCGCAATTCAGCATTAATTGGCTGTGAACAAAGGCGTGTGCATTGCTTTGCCGTGGGCCATACGTACGTACGTGGATACGTACGTGTATTGGAATCCAGTTGCAGTGATTGCCCAAGTGACATCACCGACGGTTACGAGTTATTTAGAAACAAAATAAACAATTTGCCGCTTTAAAAATTGAATCAGGTATTGTTGGCACTTTTCCATTTAAATATTTAGCAAGCAATTAAAACAGAAGGTGTTCCCGAGCCGGGCTGTTTCAAATTCACATTCTCATTCACATTCACATTCTCAATCACATTCATGTTCACCTCCCCCGGTCACTCCAATACTCCAAGTGGCTGTGGGACTATTGACAGCATTAGGTCAAAGATCGGCAGTCACAAGAGCGTGACCCGCTCATATATCATCATCGTATCGTATCTAGACATATGTGTGTATGTATACAAACATTTCTGGCAAGGCCTGTCGAATTACTCAAATCTGTTCTCAAGCTGCAAACATTCAGCTGCTTCCAGAATGCTACGCTCGAAAATTAGTTTACACAAATATTTAATCTGGCTCTGTAGTATCAATGCACGAATATACATATTTCGTATGTGTATATATGTATGTATATGTATAATGAGAATTGATTGTAAAGATCGAGTTGCAATTATTTTGGCCGCACCCTCATAAGCAAATCATTGTTTACTTATCGAATGACTTCAGCTGTACTCACAAAGTAAACAACGCCTTCGATTCGCTTAACTCTTTGAGTTTTTCAGCTGATTAACTCCAGTTTAATTCAATTACCTATTTAAGAGTGAGTAAGTAGGCAATCGACATTATAAAAAAATACATATTATATGTATATATGAAAATCTAACGGATATCTGTATGATATCATTAAGAGTCGATTAAGAATCGATATCTATCGATATCTTGGAAACGTCAAGAGATCAGAGTCGATTAAAGAGATTATGAGTTGATCGGAGAGATATCTAAAAAATATCTTGAAAACATTAATAATTGATCTGAGAGATACCTATAGCTATCTTGAAAACTCTAAGAGTCAATCTAAGCATAAAAATATCTTGAAATATCTATTGATTTCCTTAAAGCGTTAACAGCAAAGAACTGATCTGAGGGTTACTTGTAGATATCTTAAAAACATTAAGGGTTCATCTAAGAGATATCTTTAAGTATCTTGAAAACGGTATGAGTCAATCTAAGAGATATGGAGAGATCTCGAAAACGTTAGGACTTGTCCATCGAATTTAAGCTAGTGACATAGCTTTTATAGCTTTCGTATAGCTCGCTTTTGACATGATTATTTCTTAAGTTAAACGAAAGCTTAATTCCTATCAAGACTTGCAACCTTTAAGAAAGTTTCGCAAATATTTCGTGGCAAAGCTTTTTCTCGTCAACTTTCGACGGGTACCTACAGGTGCTGCATGAGTCAAGCCTGATTCGTAAAGGTAGCTTTTGAAGGTCAATTGATGCACCTGTCGATCGCATGCCAGACGAAATGCATTCCCAATTAGATGTCGCGTGGCTTATCATCTATTTATAGCCATGTTATTGGGGCCCTTTAGCCGCCATTGCATGCGGTCGAATAGTTGTAAAGTTCTAGAGCATGACATTACGATATTGTTAACCATCTACATGCCAGTTACGTGTGGATGACATGCGCTTGGGTTCGTGTTTCGGCAGTCAGTTTGCACTCGAGCTGCGAGCAGCGCCATCTATGTGTGAAAACACAACCGATTGCAGCTAGTCCAAAGCTCTTGCATGGAAAGCTGCTGAGCTTCAGCGGAGCTTTTTAGCGAGCTTGTGCTTCGCAGGACGAGCAGCTTTAACAGTGTAACATTAAAGCTCCAGCCGACTGTTAACACCCTGTTAACATTACCCATACGCCGCGTGTTGCAGTTAGATATTTAAAAAACGGCTGATTTGTAATATAAGGAAATCGTTTTCTTTATTTATGTGTTAATGCTGACGCCTTCAGTGGGCACTCGCTTAAATTTAATGTAAGTAATCGTTACAATTATTAATTAAATGTGTATTTTGTCTGTTATTCATAATAAATATATAATTAAAATACGAGTATTCTCAAACGTAATATATTGTTATACATTCGCTAATCGTACGCTAATGACAAAAACACTCACACGATTATCTAATAATAAAAAGACGGCTCTGACCGAAAGAATGTTTTTAAACACAACAACAACGGAATCAAGAACCAAAACTATGGAAAAATCGTCCTTTTTTTGTATTTTAATTTTAATTTTTTATTTATACAATATTATAATCCGTTACTTGATTGCGGGTTTTTGTGTCTCTGATTGTTTCCGGTTTGGTTTAATTAATTTATTCATTTGTTATATATTTTTTTTATATATATATATTTATATATTTGTTTTTGTAATATTCGACAGCTACGCATAACTCTAGCATAGTTGATTATTAAATAATAGTTCGAGAATTAGTTTCCGCTCACATATGCATATACAGAGGACATATGTGTGCGCATGTATACATGTATATATATATATTTGTTTATATATATAGTTATGTATATATTTGTATATATATAGTTTTTACTTTTTCATTTATTATTATTTAAAACATTTTTGTAACATTTAATAAATTTAAACATTGATTGCTCTTGCGTTATGATAATAGCTTCTATATATGTATGTATGTATATATGTATGCATACATACATATATATAGATCTTGTTTATATAGTTTCTAAATGTAAGCGCTCTTTCCATGTGATTATCCTTGAACAGGCTCTAAGGTATTCCAGTTCGACTTTTGCACTTGTGTGTGTGTGTGAGTAAGTATATGTGTGTGTGGGTATGTATGTTTCTCTGTGCTTATGCATATATATTTATATTTAAAAATAAGTATATTCTTTTATATGTTTTTCTTTTTCTTATTTTTTTTTTTTTAGTTTTTCGTCGTCCAGCGACATTTTGTCAATTTTTCAAACAGTTGATAAACTCCTTGCCAGAGGCATTCTGAGGACTAACTTTAGGTACAGTGGGCACTGCTATTGAATGTTGAATCGAATTGGTTGATTATTGATTATCGGAAAAGCGAGAAGAGCATTTCGTTCCTTCGAGGAGAGCGGCATAAGTAGCATTATGTACAAACTAAGCTAATGTTGCATGCAACTTAAACGAATTGACGAGCTGACACACACATGTGCCCTAATATCTAGACACGTGCTCCGACTCGTTTTACATACATACACAGATGTGTGCATGTATTTGTGTGCGCATATACGTATATGTACTTATATGTATTGTATATATAGATATATTGAAGAGTTTGGCTATAGGCGCTGAAACAACATCGAGACTAATTAGAGAAAAATCTTTATCGAACTTGCAACATCTCAAAGTGGCTTAGATGCTCTCGTGTAGGTGTATAGGTGTGTGGGTGTATGGGTGCGTGGGTGTGTGGGTGTGGCAGGTATTTGGAGGCGTGCATCGAACTACCCGCCTGCTGACCTGCTGGGCTGGGCAGACAGCAAGCCGAGTTCAATGATCGTTATTATTTGAGTGATTGACTCGACTCGACTCGACTCGACTCCGACTCGTTCAATTTGGTTTGATTGTTACGCTTGCACTACTTGTTGCCTGCCAATCGCTTAACTCTAACATATATATGTATATTCATATATATATATATATATATACATCAGTGGGTGTATATGCATATATAGTATAAAGTACACGTAGGTAAATTAGTTTTCGCTATTTGTTGTACATAGGTGTAAAGTTCTTAGGTACATGGTACATTTTAACTCTCATATTATTCATTTTTTCTTCTTCTTCTTCTTCTTGTTTTTTGTTATGTTTGCCTTGTGAACAGACTCACAACTTGCTACGCTCTAATAAAACGTGAATAACACACTTGAAGGGTTCTTCTCCTTCTCTCAACTGGCTGCTCTATTAGTAGTATTACGATTATAATTATTATTACGGGAAAGTACGCAGATACCGATTTGCGATATGCCAAACAGAATTGCTAAATACTTTTGCATTCCATTGGATGCCACAAATTTCAATTTTCAATTTTCCATTTTCATTTAATTTTTTTGTTTTCTTTTAATTATTACAATTTCTGTTCAACCCTCGTTCTTCTTCTTCTTCTTCCTTTTGCATTCTGCCAACTCGTTTTCATTAGCTTTGTTATTCTCTTATTATATATATGTTTGGCGTTTCGTTTCGGAATTGAAACAAACACCTGAGGCTACAAAATTACTGCAAGTGTTTTCCTTGCTATTTGGTGGTGGTGTGCGTGTGTATGTGTGAATGTGTGTGTGTGTGTGTGTGCGTGTGTGAAGGACCCGTTTCAAAAGTGCGAGAGATTTTGATTGAGAGAGTGCCATAGAGTCTCATATATTTGATTAATTACGTTGAACTGTCGTAAGGTACAATGTTTAAGTTTACCTGGTGGGTTCTCAAGCGGTGGTTATTTCATTTGTGGTTTCTGTCTGGGCTGTCCGGTTATTAAGCAACAACAACACAACCGATAAATGCGCCGACTAACGATTCTCAATTCCTAAACAGATTCACTAGTCTTGGATTGGTGCTCAAACTCAAACGAAACTGGGAGGAGTATTGGGCAGTCGGATACTGCCGACAGAGCAATATGCACAAATGTTTTCCCTCTTCAGATTTTCAATTATCCAATAGAATTAGTTTGCCATTTTATAATTATCATCGTATTACTTTTGAGTACTATTATGAATGGGAACTGAATGTGTTGTCGAACAAATAATGAATATAAATTATAAATATTTGCATAATGTTTGCCATTAATGAATAGATTCAGAGGGGACTATCAATTGTCAAAAAGAAATTGATTCTGACTGCAAATTGCCTATGTGACACGAGCGAGAGAGAGGGAGTGAGACGGACAGAGAGGGAGAGAGAGATTTGCTAACTGAAATTGCATTTTGATTGTCGTAATTAGTCAGACAGAGACAGAGAGACAGAGAAAGAGACAGAGAGAGAGAGAGAGAGAGAGAGAGAGAGAGAGAGAGAGAGAGAGCAATGGGAGCCAACACATATTTCAATTAACGGCTGTTCGCCCACATGAAATTAGCTCTATTGGGCTGCAAATGAGGCTGAGGCTGGCTTTGCTGAATGCAGATGGATGAGTGGTTGGGCTGGCTGACTGAGTGGTTGGGCTGGGTGTCCGCCTGGTTGAGTGGTTTATCAACGCGAACAGCGTTGTCCATTAAGCGCGACATTCGCATTCGCATTCGCATTCGCATTCGGCATTCGGCTTTGGCATTGGCATTGAGGCCTTGTCCCCATACAACTTGTACGCCATGTGGGCCACGTGCAGCAGCCGACCATGAAATGCAACTGCGTATGTCTTACAATGTATTCAAGTGTGTTCGCCTCTATATACATATATGTGTAAATGTTTCTGTATATATAGATGTCCTTGAACTGTTCCGTCCTTGGAGTCTGCTGAGTCGAGGCTGTGCACATTGCGAACTCGTGCCACAATTTCAGATCCCCTTAAACGACTCCAATGGCCATTCAACGGGACATGCGGCGGGCAGTCGAGCGCGTGCAATTAGCGCCACCAAACAGCAAACATCAGCTTCAAATGCACATCAACGTCTACTCGGGAGTGAGCTGGAACTGGAAGAGTTGCTGTCGCCAAAAATTGCCAAACTTCGCATGCAAATCAAACAGCGCGGAACAACTCGCGCGACATTTTGCTGCCCCCTTAATGGGAATCGCTAATTGCTGCAGTTGTTTTCATTGATATGGCAAACGTTGCGAAATGCTTCTACCCAGGTGGCTGGCCGACTGAGATGGGGTATACTGACGAGTGGTGCATAGAGAGAAATCTCATATCTTCAGCAATAACTGTATTCCCATGATGTGTCTTTAATTTAACAGGTATTGCTTTGGAGTTCTACTGGATTGGTCATCCCAAATGTGAATACCTAGATTTAAAGACTTACTAATTTTCTCCTTAGATGAATGATTAATTAAATTAAAATTACTGAATGAGAATCTGCAGCAATACGAGCGTTAGTTCGGGTATATCCTAGTCGGATATTGATCTGTTTATTTCCTTTGAATTCAATGCTTAATTTGAATCATTTTACTGGAAAAGGAAACAGAACTATTTGTTTAGAATGGATAGATACATGGAAGGAACTCTCCCCCTCTCTCTCTCTCTCTATGCTGAGAAGAGAAAATGTGAATTCAAGTCGAAATATCTCAATGGATATTTCTTAGGATTAAATTACTCCAAATCAGATGTTGTCCTGACTTATTTCTGTTGAGTTGCAAAAAGAACTGGATGTATTAATGTGAATAATATTTCCAGGATACATTTAGGAGCTAATTGACTCACTGCTAATATAGATAAAATGCACATATAATTGATGTCAATTGGTCATTTAAGGGGTATCCAATAGTCGGGCTGTGTCGTTACTGCATTGCTTTGGCTGTTTTCCCTCTGGCTCTGTCCTTCGAAATTCTGCTCTCACTCTACCGCCACCTCTCCCTGCCCTTTTATCCTACTCTCCTTGGCTCCCTTTCTCCTTCTCTCTGTCCCTGTCTCTGTCTCTGTCTCTCTCTCTTTCTTTCCGCCTCTGTTTGTGTCATTCTCGCTTCCTGCCGCAGTTTCATTTTCAACGTTTACGTGATGCGGCTGCCATTTTCATTTTCATTTTCATTTTGACAATTGCGGTTTGTTTGTTGATTTTTCTATGCGTTGTCGCAGCAAAAAAAAAAAAAAAACCAAAAACAAAAACAACAACTACAAAAAATTGAATTTTTTGCACTTTGCTGACAGATACAAATGGAGGGAACGAGAGCGAGTAGCTCTGGATGTGTTGTTTTTTTGGAGGGGGGTTGGTTGAGTGTCTGTATTAGTGTGTGTGTGTGTGTGTGTGTGTGTGAGGCGTCGATAAAACTGAATTGTTAAATAGCCTGCGCTCATGCCAATCGTCCAGTTGCTCGTGAATTCGTTTCGCACTGAGGTTCGAGCGCTTGCGCCGCTTATGTCTGAACGGGCACGTTGCTGTCCGCCTCCTGGAGCACGGGTGCTGTCCAGACGCCGCTGCCGCTGCGCGTCTTGCGCTGCTGCACGATGCCGTCCATGATGTCCAGCTGCAAGTTGTGTATGCTGCCGCGATGATCGGTCAGCGGCGGGCCACCGATGCCGCCGATGCCGCTGCCACGACGACTTCCGCTGCAAGAGAGAAAGAGGATCGTGAGTCGGATAAACGAAATAAATCCACAGAAGAGCGGACTCCTTTTCCACAAGAGGTGCGCAACAACAGTGCCTATTTGTACCTTAAAAGAGTCGGAATTAAACGAACTACAGGGACTTCATTTTATGTTGGCTTTAATTTTATTTAAACTCTGAACGTCAAGTAAATAAATAAATAAATGTCTGTCTGATTTGCAACTTGAATGCCATGCACTTAATTCTGCTGTTATCTCCCCTGTAGAGATGTTCGATAATATCTATCGAATATTAAAGAAAATCATCGAATATTTTGATATCGATGTTGGGTTTTTTTGTAAATCAACTTCGATCCTTTTCTAATATTATATAATAATTCTGAGCGGGCCATTTCTACACATTCACTAGTATTGCATGCAAAGGTACATCTAGAATAATCGAATATTTAGATAGGATCACATTTGTACATCTTTATCACGCTATGCCCTGTAAAATAAAACTGTTATGTCTATGACTTGATACAGACAAGCAAAAACTATCCCTTTTAAGTTTCCAAACGCAAATTATTGCTGTGTTTAATGTAAAGTCTGATAAGCCTTTAACAATCTTCAAAATCTGTACATCTATGTAAGCTCGGGGTCTTTGATTACCCTTTTTCACTATTGCGAATTACGAGTCTATTCGGATCATATATGAGTATACAAGCTAACGATACCAGAAGCAAATAGAATCTATGATAAGAAAAGCCACCTCTCAGACAATATGTGAGCATAAAAGATATCGATAACAAAAAGAAATGAAGTTTGTGTGTGGCTTAGTCATCGATCAGATGAAAATTTGAAAGATCGGAACATTCCGAATTCAGGTCATTGGAGAGCTTTCAATGGAGCAAAGATCCTGCCAACCATTTGGATTTTTTTAGAGCTAGTTTAGACTCTGAAGCTATAGCCTAAGGCCTGAGTCAGATAAATCAGATCAAACATTTTGTTAACTGATATAAAATGAGCTTACGTGTGTCCCATTTACACTCATCCCAATCGATAAATTTATCGATAACTTGTATAATTGAATATGCGATTCGCATAATTGAATATGCGAATCCTTTTGCCATGGCCATTGCCGCTGCCGCTGCCATCTGTGTGTGCGCCGGAGATGCGGGCTCTCGGAACGCTAATGGCGCACAAAACTTCCAATTACTGCATAAAGTGGCTCGGCTGCGACAAATAAAAATGTCATTTACCTGAAGGAGACGGCGGAAATGGACTCGCGCCGATTGCGTCCGAAAAGCGTTGGCGGCACCGCCGATATGGTGACCACGGAGTGGCGGCGTCCGCCCGCGGTCGGGTTGGTCTTCTGCGAGAGCGTGGCCAAAAACTCGACTTCCTTGGGGCTGAGGCCGCCCGTTTCGCCGCCCACCTCGGACAGGCGGCGCACCTGGCTGGCGGTGATGCCCTCAGTTATTTGCAGCGATGGCAGCGAATGCTTGCGCCGCTGCTGCATGTCGGGGAAGGGGCACAGCAGGTACGGGTTGACCGGCGAGTCCGGCTCCGAGTCGTCGCTGTTGCTGCGCTTGCTGGTGCTGGGATCGCAGCCGCCGGCGGCGCCCTCCAGCTCCTCGCCGTCCTCGACGGCGTGCGACTCCTCGACGACTATCAGCGGCTCTTGGGTGCTCAGGTTGAACACGGGCGTGAACGAGGAGCGACGCATCTTGGCTCTCTCTCTCTCTCTGCTCCGTCGACGTCTCTGCAACGATACCAGAAGCCACAGTCAATCAGCAGCCAAAGAACTTTTCAACAAATTAAAATGAGCCGCGCAGCTGAGCTCTCTGAGCTCCTCTTTCGCTTTGTTCGAGTTGCGCGTGCACGAACTTTGTCCACTTTCGTTCTTTCTGTGTTTTTCTTACCGATACACACACCCACCCATATGCCGCCAGCCACGCCCACATGAATTGATTGTGTGCATTATGTAATTTGACAAACGGGGAGCCGGAGCCCTGCAATTTGTTGTGCGGCCTCAATTCGAAATTTGTGGGCGTTTGTTTGGCTATGCTATGAATATGCAAATACTTTGAGTTCTTGGCTCATCCAAAGTTTTGCAATTAAACGAGTTTCAACTTTTTATTTTTCCACTTCTTTAGACAAGCCTCAACAATCAATTGATGTTGATTTCCTTTATTGATTTTTAATATACTCCCCTACACATTTACATATTCATAAATATACACATGTATATGTATGTATGTATGTATGTGTAAATGCCAAAAGGCAAAGAAAGTTTAGTTGGTAACTAGTTTAAAAAGTTTTAAGCAGTATTGATTGAGCCTGTTTCGACTTCAGATGAGTTCACATTCAGTAATCAGGCACTTTAAGGTTCACTATACTCATCCACAAAATGAAAGGGTATATTCGTGTATGCTATCCGTCCGTCAGTCCTTCTATTTGTCCGTATGAGTGTTAGCTGTTTTGCTGCTATTGAAGTTAAATGATTGCAATTATATATATGTATACATATATGCACTCAGAGAAATTCAGTAATATCTATATATGCAAGTTTTTTATACCCTAAACCAGCAGAAGGCCAAACAAGCTGAGGGAGGCGCGGCAGACTCCATAAGGTCCGTCCGCCTGTTCCTCCATCCGTAGGTTTGAGCGCGTCGAATTCAGAAGATATAAGAGCTAGAGATTTGAAATATTTGGTTGGTACACGATAATTGTAAACGAGTCTCTATGTAAGTATACTGAAAAGTAGCTTGGAATTGCGGATATATTAATTACTCGAAATACTCAAAGGACTTCGTTATCGGACAGTCTTGACTAAAGCATGTTTAGCTATTGATATATTGAATCACATATTTCCATTATTTTTATGTAAAAAGACCAAAAGCACCCAAGAATAAAACAAGATTGACTTGCCTTTGCATACAGGAGCGTGGCAAATCGGGAATCCTTAACAGGTTTTCAGATGGAAGCTTCAGAATTGAGATATAAATTGCTGTTCTCTTCTATGGCTTTCTAATTATATTCCCTTGTGTGGAAGTGTTTCTTGGGCCATGCATGAGTATTACGATGCCTAAGAATCAAAGTCTTACCCAGTTCATCAAATGGTTAACGTTTAATTACAAAATGTACTACACTTTGGCAATTTTCGACAAGCTGTCACTCAGCTACACCGTTAGCCAATTATTCAATCAATCTGTCAGTGCGAATAAGTTGTGGAAGCTGTCTAATAGAGGGACTCATTGTGCGAGGGTAACAAAGCTGTCGCATTGTCGGAAATGTCGATGGAGTCGATAAATAGGTGAACCTAGCTACCTGCGGCTGCTTACAGGGTATGGCCAAGCGAGCAGAACACCAAACCTATTCTGAGTCATTTGGGTAGAAAATGGATCGAATGGACGTTGTGGCGCTGGCTAAGCTCTGCGGGCGGCAAGAGACCCTCGATCGTGGAGCCTTTTCCATTAGAATAAAGCCAGGCTTTTATTTGGATATAATCTGGGCAAATGCTGAGCCCCAAACAATGCATAATTACTGCCTCGATTGCCTGCGAACGATTCGTTTTCAATTAGCTAAATGTATTCAGAGGGCTCTCGCACGGAACGAAACCCTTTTTATTTTGTTGAGGACAATGGCAAATGAATGCAAGCATAATTAAATGGGCCACCTCCGGATGCCAGCCAGCCAGGCAGCCAGAGCGCTTTAAACAACAAATATTTGCATACTTTTAGGTGCTCAGTCCGAGCCAAAACAGCTTAGAAATTGCGCATACGCTCAGTAGTCCAGCAGTGCTTGAAGATAACTGATTAGAGCTAAATATATGCATATATATGTTATACATAAAAAATTGTTAAGTTGTCCAAGAGAGAGAAAGAGAGAGGGGGAGAGAGAGGGGGAGAGGCAGATGACAAAGATAAAAATACTTTTTAGCAAGATTGCTTTTATTAAATAAGAAAAGCGTCTTGCGAACGCCAAGGGAGATTCTTGTATGTGTGTGTGTGTGTGTGTGTGTTACCTTGAAATCGAATTTGGCTAGGAAATCGATTGGAAGACATTCGAGACCTGTGCGAAGAACTTTGAAAGTGCTTCATAGTTGACTGCACTTTTCATTAATATAACACGAGCACACCCTATGCCTATGCGCGTCTATAGGGTGCTCGACACAGAGTGACACGTGTTGTGATTCCATACTAGTGTACATGCGTATCTCTCTCTCATTCTAACTCTCTCTCTCTCTCTCTGTCTCTGTGCGTGTCTTTGTATGGCAGCCTAATGTGTCTACTGGGCTTTGCTGTTGTGTTTTGTGTGTGTTTTTTACTGCTGGCGCCAACAGGCCGTCAACTCAATTGATGTACGTCACACACACACACACCTACACTGCTTGCTGTGTACAGCAGCTGTGTATTTAGTGCTGACTTATCCATTGCCAAAATCAAAATAATGAGCACTATTAATAGCATCTGACTGACGATTGGCTGCGACTCATTCAACGCGAAGCCAGCCAGAGTACGTGAGAAACGTGTCACTTAATCAGCATTAAAGAGCGCAGTTACATAATTAGCTAAGGAGCCGAGACACACACACACACACACACACACACACGTACACATACACGCACGCACACACGCGCATCGAAATCAACAAATGAAAACGTGAGCCTCACGTAAATCTCATTTAAATTTCTTTTTGGTGTACACAAAAATCGAAATCCGCAGAGTAAGCTTACGTGTATGTACACATACACACACACACATAGTCAAACACATGTCATAGACATTGGGTTTATTACCAAAGCCCAACAGGCGCAAAAACGAGAGACAATGGCTGCTGAGCAATGGAAAGTGTTGAGCCATTGAATACCCTGTAATAACTGGCATGAAAAGCTGCATTTGTGGCGATCTGGCAGTACTCTTATGTTCCTAATCGATATACAGACTGTCCATTTTAAACAGATCCATTTTGGACAGATCCATGGTTTTTTTTAAATTATTTATTATTATTTTTTTTTTTTTTTTTCAAAATTTAATTTGACGATATTAATTATATTATGATATTCAAGTAGATTTGTTGATATTTCCTTTTGAATATGATTGTCAACTTGAGCCTGTACGGCATATTGTGCCCGTCTTTGTCAGGTAAATAATCATTCACATTCTCATCAACAGATAATAATTGTCAATATTACCAGTAAGCTTTGTGCAACATTATGCATACATATGTATGTCGTAGCTAATAAGTTATACACATATATATATTATAAATTTAGTAAAAATAATTGGAGATATATCTTTCATAATTTGACAACCATCACCATACACTTTCAACCCCATCTTCAGATATTCCTAATAAATAATTCAATTTTGATTGCTTCAATTGTAAAGTAATTTCTTATTTTATTTCGATATATGTATCTTTAACCCTTCTATAAACTCACTTTAACATCTGTTCTTTCTTTGATATCTACATATACAGCATATATGTCTGTCATTTATTTTGCTATTCACGATAAAAGACAATTGAAAGCAAAAAAAAAAAAAAAAAAAAAAAAAAAAAAAACAACAACAACAACAACAATTAATATATAATACTTGTCCTTTCGTCTGTCTGTTTCTTTTAGGTCTGCTAGTTGAGAGTCAACATAAGCGTCATTCTATGATTTTTCGTGTAAAGGTATAACGACATTTCGTCCCTTACTCAATTTTTTCTTAATGAGAATTCATTTTGTGGTCTAGACATACAAATTTTATAGCTCTGGTTTCAAATTGAGCGAGATTCTTACAATTAAACTGGGGTAAATAATTCATAGAAAATTTATATGAATAAATTTAAGAAAATTATTTACTGACATAATATATTGTAGAAACTAGTTTGTTTGTCATTAACGTTTTACTATACAGAGTCTGTATAAAAGAAATTGTATTCCTTTGGCCCGAATTACACAGAAAGTATTCGACAATGACAACTTGAACTTGAGCTTTCTATAAAATCACAAAATCATTCGGGCTGCTTAATTTTGTGACTTTCAATTTAGATCATATTCAGACTTTCAAATCCCAATAGATGTTGCGCTTCCATATGCTGACGGCAGCAATTCGAGCTTCATATTCACTTTTGGGGTTTTGCTCTTGTGCTCGATTTCAAATGTCAAATGTAATTTTCAAATTATTTAGGTCCACTTTAAACAATTAAAGCCAAGCCAGACCCAGATAATTTGCTTGAAATCTACATCATTATGCCAGATTGCCATTGGACCCTTGCCCGCCTTGCCTGCCTTGTCTCTGCAGCCGCAATACATACAAACACGTGTTTATCTATATGTGTGTGTGTGTGTGTGTGTAGTGGGATACTAATAGCAAAACATGGCTTTCACATGTGCCGAGTCCCTTCAGGCCATTTAAGCAATTACAATCCCATTAGCTTCAACTGCTGCAGCCGCAAGTCTTTTGAAGACCGCAATTAACTGGAAGGCCATTGCATAAGAAGAAATCATCGAGACCTTTAGCTGCGGATAAGCTGAGCGTAAATGGATAACGGCTTCTATCCGAGTCAAGATGAGCAATTGTTAAACTGTTAACTTTTTGAGAAAGTCACATGCTCTGGTGCAATTTGAAGGAATCCCTAGACTAATTCGTAATGCCGAGGAAAAGAACATTGTTTTTGAAAAATCTCCGTTCTGTTGTCCGTTCGTTCTGTGACTATAAAAGGTAGAGGAAAACTGTGTGACATGTGTGCTCAGCAGACTAGATTTGA